TCTCCAACGTCCAGATCCTGCTGCCCGTGGGCGAGCCCGTCACCAACGTGCGCCTACAGCCGGCTGCCACCTGGTGAGGGCGCCAGCGCTGCCCGTGCGCACCCCAAGCCCTCTTGCCCGTGGCGAAACAGGCCGGGCTGTGAACTGGGGTGGTGGGGTTCGGCACCCTCTGACCAAGCTCCCCTTGTGGCCAGGAGCCTGGAGGAAAAACGTTTCGTGTGGAAGCTCCCGGATGTGTCGGAGGCAGGGGGTGAGCTGTGGGGGAGGGAGTCGGCTGCAGGGTGCTTGTGAAAACTGGAGAACTGGGGGTGTGCTGGGAGGGGAGGGTTAGCATGAAAAATCTGGGAGGCTGGTCGTCGATCCATAATCCAGAGGCTGAGGCGGGAGGATCCCAAATTCAAGCCCAGCTTGGGCAACTCAGGAAGACCCTGCTTCGAAATGAAAAAAAGGCGGCGGTGGTGGCAGCGGCTGTAATGTGGCTCAGGGGTACAGCGCTGGCTGGGCGTGGGCAAGGCCCTAGGTTTCAAGGCTCAGTTAAAAAACATTTGGGAGGAGACAGCATCTGATGGGGCAGAGGACAGGCAGGTGCAAAGGCCCTGCGGCAGAACTGCTTGGGAACCCACACACCGCTTGGTGGGGCCAGAAGAGAAAGTACATACCAGGAGGAGTTGGTGGGGGCACACAAAGGCCACAAGCCCCAGGGTGGCAGCAGATCGTGCCTGGGCCAGGCTGGGCACACCTGACTCCGGCCTCCCTAGGCTCCGGCCGCCTCTCCGCCAGCTGGGAGCCGCTGTCCGGGCCCAGCACCCCCAGCCCCGTAGCCGCACAGTTCACGAGTGAAGGAGCCACTCTGTCGGGCGTCGACGTGGAGCTGGTGGGCGGCGGCTACCGCATGTCCCTGGTGAAGAGGAGGTTCGCCACAGGTACCCCACCCTCCCGGGAGCCCCAGGACCGCAAGAGACCCAGCCTGCTTCTACCAGAGTGGCGGGGAAGAACTGGGGGGGAGGCTAAGATGGGGTACAGGGCCATGAGAGCCCCCCAGGGCAGAGTCAAGACAGAAGGGACAGCCCCAGCCCCAGGCCCTGGGAGAGGAAGACTGGGGCGCCCTCACTGGCTCGCCGCCCCCAGGGATGTACCTCGTGAGCTGCTGAGCGTCGCCCCAGCTCCGCACTGAACCCCGGTGCTCGACCAGACGGCGGTCCCTGCTGACCCCCAGGCCTGATGGGAGAGGAGCCGCCTGCCCTCAGGCCTGGCTGAACGGAGTTGGCTCCTCCCCCTCCTCCTCCTCACGCCAACTCCACCCAGGTCCTGGCCTTTTAATGTTCTTCACACACTTTATTTTCTAACAAAATAAAAAAGGAAACCTTGTCCTGCATCAGGGTGTGTCCTTTGGCAACACCGCTAGGGGGCGGGGCCTAGGAACACAAACGTTGCCCCGGCGCAGGGGGAGGGAGCCGGAAAGGACTCGGCAGGAAAGGCTTCGTAAAGAGGGGCTTCGTACAAGGGGTCGTGAGAGGCTGGCGTGGTGGCGCATACCTGTCATCCCAGCGCTTGGGAGGCTGAGGCAGGAGGATCGCCATGCGTTCGAGGCCAGAGGGACCTAAGATGTGTGCTGTCCACGCAAACCATTTTCCTGAGGAGGCGGCCCCCTAAGAGCCCTGCTCCTTGAGGGTAAGTCCGATTCCCAGGTGGAAATGGCCGGTTTGCAGGGGAAAGGGAACGGCCCTGGCTTATTGTGTCTGGAGGAAAGAGGGGAAAAATTTGAACTGGGCTCGAGTAACTTTTGTGTCCTTAACTGCAGTTTTTCTTAAAAGTAGAATTTTTTAAATTTCCCTGTCTGGTTTTGGTTTTTCTTTTTTTGGTGTTTCGAGATGGAGTGTGCCTGTGCCCTGCGCCTGTCTCCTCTCCCAGGAGGCTGGGAAGTGTGTGGGACCCTGGGGCCCTCACGGAGGGTGGATCCGGGACCTCCGGGTCCGGAAGTGGGCGTGGCTGGAGAGCTACAGGCTTCCGTCTCCAATTCTGGCCACTCACACAAATTTGCTGGCCAGATCAGAGGAGGAGGTCGTTAATTTGGGAAAAGGGGGGCAGGGGTTTATTCAATGGTAGCTCCGCGGAATGGAGGGCCCCAGTCTGGTGGGTGGAGTCGTTCGTGGTGAGAGACTGGGAGAGGCTGGGAGAGGCTGTGCAGGTCTCCTTGCGTTGGTACCGGGGATCGGGATCGAACTCGGGACCTTGCACTTGCGAGGGAGGCGTCAGAACCGCTGAGCTAAATCCCCAGCCCCAGCACACCTTTCTTGCATAAAGGAAGTAAGGCTCAGGGGCCCAGCACCTGCATATCTACCCCTTCAGGGCTGACTCTGTGCTCAGCAGGAGGAAGCTTGGAGACCTTGCTTATCCTTAAAAGGAAAAAAAAAAAAAACACCTCCCTTTTAAAGTTCCATTTGTAAAGTGAGCATGGTGGGGGACACCTGTCTCCCAGCCGACTGGGAGGCTGAGGCAGGAGGATCGGGGGTGAATTCAAAGCCAGCCTGGGCTACACTGTGAGAATGGGGATGGAAATGTTTCCGCTCCAGGGGTCCCAGGAGGTCCCTAAAGTGGGTGTGGGGACCCCAGGCTCACCCTGCGCACACGGCAGCTCGCAGGCAGCTCGCAGGCCCGTTGACTCGGCACAGAACCCTGGGGGGCTCAGGGAGCCTCAGGCGCCCGCTGGAGGTCGCTGTGTTTCGGCAGTGGAAGTCGGCGGAGGTCGTGCATCTGTGGAAAGCCGGTGGGCTTGGTTCACAGGAGAAAAGTAGTGGCCCAGCCACAGGCGGGGAGAGCTTGCAAGGTTTGCAAAGAAAGGCAGGTCTGTTCCCCCACCACCACCCCACGTATGAAAGAAACAGTAAGAAAAGATACAATGCAGGAAAAACACCAACCACCCTTCACCTCGGGGCAAAAGACACAGCGATTTCTCCCTTCTCGCCAGCCCAGACTCCTTCCCACCCACGCCAGTCCAAAGCCTGGGGTTCCTGGGGTTCTTTGATCTCGATCACCAGTGGAGAGGGAGTCAGGGCTCAGAGGAGCTTCACCGCGGCCGCTGTAAGTCCGGGAGACCTTTACTTGGTGGTGCTGACGTGGTTGGCCACCTCCTGGCTCTGTGCGAGCCTCCAGGGAAAGGCCTGGTCGTAAGTGACCAGGTCCGAGCTGCCCGGGTCACAGCCACTGAAACAGTGTGGCCGGATCGTCCATGGGGAGCAGGGCTTATGCAGAAGCCAGGACGGGGCCAATGTGTCCCTGAGGAAAAGGCCACAGGACAATTTGAGAAACTGGTAAGAAACAAAGGGCAGAAAGCTCTGGGACAGCAGCACCACAGGCTTCTGGAGGCCCAAGTTCCATTCTCTCGAGGCGAGTTTTCCCCCAATCTCTCGCAGTCTACATGTCCCACAAATAACATTTCGCCCTCAGTCAAGAAAAAAGCAGAGGGCAGCCAGGCGTGGTGGCGCATGCCTGTCATCCCAGCACTCCGGAGGCTGAGGCAGAAGGATCACTGTGAGTTCGAGACCAGCCTGGGCTACATAGCGAGTTCCAGGTCAGTCTCAACTACGTAGTGAGACCCTGTCCCCCCAAAAAAAAACGGAGAGGGAAAAGATGGCGCTTCTGAACTTGAGTCCCAGCTGCGGTCTTCAGGCAGTAGCTCTGTAGCTCCCCTCTTACCTAAAGAGACCAGAACCACAGTGTCCGGAAAACAAGTGGCTGTGGAAGGCAGGCGGTGTATAGAGGGGTAATGTCCCATCTGGGTGCATTGCAGCCCCTGGCGCCCCTGGTCTGAAGAAAGCAGCTGGGTTTGTGCTGCGGAGGTTCCCCACCCTAGGAGAAGACCACACTCTTGCCTACAGGGCCGTCCATCCTTGGAAACGAAACTGGGTTTAGACCAGGGTCCCTGCCTCACAAAAGGAGCTGGGGTGGTAGCTGTCGGGCCTGCTGGAGAAGAGCCCAGATGCCCACCAGCTGACAAGGGGAAAGCAACGTGACCTGGGCCTAAAGGACCAGTAGACCTTGCGGAGGCAGCCGGGTGGGACCCTGCAGGCCAGGGGCCCATGGGAAATTGGCTGTGTTGGGGCCTACTGGCCCAGAGGCTCATGGGAAAATTGCGGGACTTGAGCCCTGGAGGCCAGCAGGTCTCGTGTTTCTTTCTTTTTTGGGTTTTTTGGCTTTTTGGTTTTGGTTTTGGGTTTTTTGTTGTTGTTTTTGGTTTTGGGTTTTTTGAGACAGGGTCTCACTATGTAGTTGAGACTGAGACTGCCCTGGAACTATGAAGCCTATGTTGGTCTTGAACTCCCAGCGATCCTCCTGCCTCAGCCTCCAAGTGCTGGGATTACAGGCGTGCGCCACCATGCCCGGGCTTCATGTTTCTTTTTAAAGATCAATGATCCAAGATGTTTGGCCTAGCTTATGGACTTTGGGTAACTTTAGAGAGGTAAGCCTAGATGATGAAAAGAAAGCACAAACCAACCTAGGGAATACAGACAGGTAACCTTGGGTAACTTTGCATTCTGAAGTCATAGTCTTAAAAATACAACTTTCAAAATAACTGTTTTCCTTGTCTCCTTTTTACCTGTGTTTCCTGTCCTGTCTCAGAAGGAAGACACCTTGCCTCATCTTGCAAACTCCTACTCATACCTCACAACCCCATTTACAATGCTACATCCTTTTCCTCACTCTCAGAAAAACCCTGGTATCTCCCTCTGGGCTCTCTAGTCCCCCCTCTCTCTCTCTTCAGATTCTGCACCTACAAAATGAGGGAAACCCTGGATTAGGAGAGGTTTGGGGAATGTCCTTGGCTCCCAGCAAGCTCATGGTCAATTCAATGCCCGGTATAGGAATGGTGATTACACATTCCCGGGTCAAACAGGGACACTTCATGCGCTTGTGCTTTCCTGAGTGAACAGCAGGGACTTGGGGCTATGACTTGGCTGCCCTGGGAGGCCCTGCTTCCCCCCCCCCAGGGGCCTCAGCTCTTGAGGTGAAGCCCCAGAGCCCGTGGCCGCCCAGGGCCCCCAGCTTCCTGCTCTGTGGCCTCAGGAAGGGAGTGGCCGCCCCACATGGGGACAGAGAGATATTCAGAGCCCAGAGCAAGGTCCCCTCCCCCAGGCCGTGGCGCACACGTGTGGCCAACGTGGCAGTCGCCCCAGGGTGCCCTCCGGTCCTGCCACCTCCGGGCACCTGCTATCTCCTCCAGGGCGGGTCCTGCACCTCCTGGAGGCTTTGGTTTGCCCAAAGCAGGGACCTTTGTGAGGCCAGGCTGGTTGTTTGCTCCTGGCGGGGGTGGCCTCCAGGCCCCCAGGGGGAGCAAACTCCTATCTCAGGAGGCGGGGCCCATTGAACCCGCCCCTCCTTCGGGAATGATCCCCCCCACCGCGCCTGGGCACCCCAAAGCCCCAGCTCTGGCACAGAGCAGCCAATCAGCGGAGTCCCTGCCCAGTCAGGGTTTGTTTAAGGTGAAATTCACATTAACAGGAAATGAACCGTTGAAAGGCGCCCTTGGGAAGGTCACAGGCACGCTCGGGGGACCTAGGGGTGATACAGGGGAAATGTTCTATCTCCCAACCTGCTGGATGTCAGGTACACCGAGCTCCTGTTCTCGAAAATCCAAGAATGGCTTTTCGGAACAAAAAGAGTAGCAAATACTTACTGAGGGAAAGACAGCTTCCAAGACAGGCAGGAAAGTGGGCTACCCATGAGCCCGCCGCTCGAAGGAGTTTTATAGAGCGAAGTCAGGATGTGGGACAAACCTATGGCCGCCCAATAAGATTACAAGCACAGCCGCACCGGTCACACTGGGGGAAGCAGGTCACGTGCACAGAAAGAACTCGGCCTCTCCTGGAAGGGGGGCCTGGCCCCCACCCAGGTGACCGACACCTATTTACCAATCACTGTCTCTCGCTGGGGAAGCAGGTGTAGCCATTTCGTCTGTCTTGAGGCCCGGCCTTTCACGGCTGCGCGTCCACCCACAGCTGTAAAGTGTTATCTTCTGCACTGACTTCTTCCGGGGCCCAGCCCCACCTGACTGCCTAGAATATGTTTACCTAACTTAGCTGTCTATACCATAAGCACCAGCCAGGTATGGTGGTGCACGCCTGGTATCTCAGCACTCAGGAGGCTGAGGCAGGAGGATCTGCGAGTTCAAAGCCAGCCTGGGCCACATGAGACCCTGTCTCAATAAACAGAAAAATCATAAACAAAACCACGCAAGGTTGTACAACTACCACTTCACCTCTGCTTCTGGCGCGTTTCCCACCCCTCATAGCAGACTTGTCCCTGTCCCCTCCCCAGCCTCCTGGCAGGCACCAATCTACTTCCTGTCTCTGG